AGGACAATTTGCGTGTATTAAACGCAATCACACATTGAAATAATTCATTATTGATTGTTAACTATGATTATTAGTTTTACTTTTGCGTGAGGTATTTTTCAATGTTTGTTTTAATTGAAGACTTGGATAAAGGATTTTAGACTTTCTGAAGGCTTAACAATTGTAAAGATTGAATTTTCCACTGTAATTTGTTTATATGAAATAAAGTTACAATTTATAAAGTAAAGTCTATTTTATTTTAGTAATTGGTGTTTTTTTAGTATTTGCGTTTTTAGTTATATGATTTTAAAATGTTTCTATTATAAATTGTTTGAACTTTTTATACGTTTTATGTCTTAAATATTAAAAAACATCTTCATACAGTTTTTTTTTTTGTTTTTGTAAATTCTAGTCAATGTAGCTTTTTGACTTCGCTCGCAGATCATCCATCGGTTACCAAAGCGGGGGATCCATCACTTCCTCAGAGAACTAAAATTGTGATGGCATCTCGTCGGATCATCCTTAGGGGTGTTTCACAGATCGTCGCCAATATCTCATTGTGCAGCTCTTGTGCGACGTGACGCAAATAAATTGCTACTACAACTTTGTTTCATTAAGTTTAATGAAATATTAACGAGATTCTTAATTTCTTATCATATACCTATTTAACCATAATATTAAGTTGAAATAGTTTACAGCATAAGATTTTTTCTTAATTACACTGGACCCGTTTCCTATGCGGACACCTATTCTACACCTATTTCCGCTTCTTTGAGGTTTCATTAAATACTGTCAATTCGGTATTGGATTAGATACTTAAATAGTATTTCAAAGGAAGTTTGCTTGCTTGCAGAATTAAAAAAAATAATGAAACTCAATTTTCAAACTAAAGAAAGAAGACGACAACCAAAAATTTTGTTGCTGTTGTTATTGTTAATTTACGTCGCACTAGAGCTGCACAATGGGCTATTGGCGACGGTCTGGGAAACATCCCGGAGGATGATCCGAAGACATGTCTTCACAATTTTGATCCTCTGCGGAGGGGATGGCACCCCCGCTTCGGTAGCCCGACGACCTGCGCGCGAAGTCGAGCACTTTACGGTCGCACAGTTCAACGAGGACCAATACCACACACCCTCGGTCCCTACGCAGACTGATCCAAGTGGTCACCCACCCGCACACTGACCGTAGCCAGTGATCTGCTGGGAACCGTGTCTTAGCGATCAGTCCACTGCGGGACCTCAAAAATTTTGTAAGATGTTGAAAATTAAGAGAAAATGCTGTACTGGGTTCCTTAGCACACCCTGGTTGGAATTGTTCACCCTTTTCTATGGTGGTTAGAACTTCGGATTCAAAGGTCGTGAGTTTGATCCAAGCCGGCGGCCAGCGAACATCTCTTACACAATCTTCAACATTGGTGACCATGGACGCAGGACACGTAACTGTTAAACTTTTCTGCAGATGGCAGCACTATAATTGACTCGGTAAACAAACCGCTATAGCTCGAACTGAGAACTGTAATGGGGACTTTAATCAACCGGGTACACTTCCTCAAGTCTCGTGAGTCCCGCAGTGGACTGATCGTTAAGACACGGTTCCCAGCAGATCACCGAAGTCAAGCATCACTGGCTGCGGTCAGTGTGCGGGTGGGTGACCACTTGGATTAGTCTGCGGAGGGACCGAGGGTGTGCGGTATTGNCCGGGTGCACTTCCTCAAGTCTCGTGAAACGCTTAGGACGGACAAGTCAGTCTTTATCGTTCACTGAAGGGGGAGTGTGTGGTGGCCATTTAAAAAAAATTCCTAACTCTAGTTAAACACAAGAGGAGACCACTTTAAACTCAAATTTATTGTTATAATGTGATGAAATAACAAATAGCGAAATTAATTGTTATTTCACACTGATGAATATTGTGAAGAGTTTTAACTTTCGGCTGCTTTGAATCCAGAAGTGCGGAAAAGAAATATCTCAATAAATTTTGATCTGTTTGAGTTTTCACGCGCTTCTTAAAGAGTAGTCGTAATCTGGAAAAAAAATAATCCAATTAATTAAGGTAGATAAGCAGTAAAAAAATAATGAGCCTCTTATTGATAGTTTCATTTATTTATTTTTTGAGTATTTCTCCACATCCTTGAAATTATTTTTAGTGAGTCAGGGAAACTTCGGCGTAAGATATTAAAACTTGGTAATCCAAAGATAATTAAGTTTTATCTACAAATATTATCATTTTATGTTATTCCGTTTCATTTAATAACAATTGAAATTTTTAAAAACGCAAGATATTGGGGAGAATCGTGTAGGACCGAGTAGTCAGGTGAGACTGGGTTGCTATTTTCCAATCTAAGGGCCTTTAACGACCTGCTCTTCTGCTTGGCAATTTCTTAAACAAAGAAAAACTTGATTCTTGACTTTTGACTTGATTTTGATTTGATTTTGATTCTTGACTTGATTGTTTAGGTAGTAATATTTAAAAAACGAAAACAAAAATCAATGCTTGCATTATAATTGCGACCAACCACAGACAAGTCTAAAATCTCTATAAAAATAGTGCGTGTCGTTAAATGTCGCTGGATTGCAAATTTGCGACTGGGTACCTTGATTGTGTCGAATTTAGTTCGGTTTTCTACTGAACAAAATTCGGAATTACATTTCACTAGTTAAGATAAGACCTACCTTTTTGGCGTGTTGTTGTAGATTAATTCGGGGAGGGGGCTGGGGTTCGTCTGTGTAGATAAGTTCGTTTTACTATGTCAACGCTGTAATGTTCTTTTGGTTTTAAGCTAATTGACCGTTTCAGTTAAAAAATTATTTTTACTCCAGCTTATTATACGTCTACTAAAGATTCATACCCTAACAAACGATAGGGATTTCGTCCAGTGGTAGCATTATTCTTATACGTTTTGATAACTTGTAAGACCTGGTATTACACAGTTTTGCCGCCTTTCCCATTTATATGTGTCTGTGCTGGGCCCACGAAAGCTGCAGGCTGCAGTGCAGCGTAGGAAAAAAATAACTACATCCAAGATTAAATAAGGGAGGACGGACCCAGGACAAAATTTATTCAATGCCCTTTCCTCAAAGCATATTTTGTAGAACTTGTGAGGAATTTTTATACAAAATTGTAGGTTTTATATAGATGTAAAGAAGTTCTTTGAAATTTTCTTTAAAAAAAAAAAAAAAAAANAAAAAAAAAAAAAAAAAAAAAAAAAAAAAAAAAAAAAAAAAAAAAAAAAAAAAGAACCGATTAAACAATTTATTTTTGTAAGTAATTTTGGTTCCCTCAGTGGTTACGGAACAATTGTTCCTCTACAACCAAATTGCAAACAAACATCCAAAAAGAACTGATTAAACAATTTATTTTTGTAAGAAATTTTGGTTCCCTCAGTGGTTACGGAACAATTGTCCCTCTACCCCTTTCTTCTTGAGTACATAGTCAAATAAAATAGCATTTTATTGTCACATAAAAAGAAATTAAATTATTAAGTGCATATCTTCCATTGCGAAATACCGAATACGTCTAGAAATGGTATATTTATTCAGATAAAGTGCGCGTTTGTGCCCGATTTTGTTGTCTGAAATATCATCTCGACACTAATTATTTTAGCATTAAGGAAAAAAGAAGTAAATTAAGAAATTAAATAAACCAACAAATATAATATATATAAATGAAATAAATAAGGCAAAAATACAAGCTACGGATCATTTGACTTGTTGGTTGAAAAAGACAAGTTAGAACTTCTGAGACATTATTTTTATTCAACTTTTCCTAAAACTCTAAATTCAAAGTCTAATATAACGGTCTTATGTAAATAGTGGTCTAATTTCTCTTCTTATTTAGTTATTTATTATTATTATTATTTAAGCAATGGAGTTAGCCACTCATTTATGCTCAAAGAAGTCACTTCTAACTAATAAACTTACAGTTTTTTTTCTGCTGACAGCTGACAAACAGAGGGCACCACAATTCAAACACGAAAATGCATTTTAAACTAAAGCTCTGTATCGATATTCAAACATAGTTTTCATAGTGAGTATTTTTAAATGATGATGATGAATATTATGAAAATTTATATTAATTTTACAAATACATTACATTACATTTTTCTGCTGTATTCACTTAGAATCGATCAACGGTAAGCAATTTTTATTTTAATCACATGACTAAATGCAAAATATTACCTGAGTTTTATTGCCAATGATATTCAACGGCTAGTAATATTCCGTATAACATTTATAAATACTATATCAAACTGAAACTTTTTGAGGCTTGTTGATTAGTTAAAGACAATAAATCGTACGTAGGTAGGCTATAAAAAATTCTAAAATCAGAAAAAAAATTATTATAAAAAAATTCTGAAATATCTGAATCGATTTCAATTGTGAATTTTATTTCGTCATTTCTTATGTAATGCTTCGATTATAATGCCGAGACAATAATCCAATATTTGTTTACAAAAATTGCCTTTCAAATCTTATAATTTTGTTTGTTTTTTAAATGTTGCTTAAGTGAATATTACTTAAAATTTGTACTGCGGTATTAGCAAACTACAAACAATCTAGTCTTAAAATTATTAATTACAATAATTAAATAATCTTTCGTTACAAATAAACAAGCTTATCAATACTGTAATTGTATTTAAGCTTCATACTTGCCACATTGAATAAAATTAATTTTTTAGTCATTTTAACATATAGGCAATAAAGCAAGTTCCAGCAAGAGCTACAGTTTTAAAAGCCTCAAAAGTTTATCATCATATTAGGTTTAAATGTCGAATTTTTTGATGATATCAGATCTGCGTTAGTTTCCCGTAGTAATTTCAGTTTTAATTATCAAGCTAATTGAGGCACATAATATGTCACAATCAACTTTAGAGAACTGTGTATAAAAATTTCATTCAGCCCATGTCTCTATTTTCGGAATTTTAGATGTACAAAATATGTTTCGGATAACTTTTTGATGTATAATTTCTTAAAATCATTAACTACTATAGAAATGAGTAACAAAACACAATAAAGATTACATTTTCTTTTCAATAAATTGTTTTTATTTGAAGATAATACAGAACTGTACAAGTAAGGCAAAGGCCACACCGGCAACAAACCATTATTTACACACCTTATTCCAAATAGAATGTCCCGCACCCTTTGCCAGGATTTGTGCGATAAAAACCATTTTAACAATCATGGACGGAACTATGTATAAATAACATATTCTATAGAACAATAACACGTTAATTAATAAATTAATATAAACAGTGTTTGTGAGAGTATGATTTTTGGGTCGCAGAATGAATATGCATATCATGAGATACCATCTCCTGCAGTAGGCATTTTGGTCCGCATACCCTTGAGTCATACTTTCATTGCTTACAGCGAAGCGAGATAGAAGTATTCACTAAGGAAAAAAGAAAAATATATAATACTTTAGAAGATATTTTGGTTATAAATAAGAGATAACAAAGCTTTTTATTTCTTCCCTTTTATATTTTTATTGGGCAGTTAGGCATAAATCACGTTGATGGTATCATAAAAAATGGGTGATGAATCGGCAAAAAGTATTTCGTGGAGTGCTTTTAATGTTAAAATCCGTCACATCTGCGCCGAGTATAAAGTAAAACGACGAAGACTTAACATAGTTGCATAGTTAGTTTAAAAGTCTTGATACTCAATTTCATAATCAGACTACAATTGACTTAGTGTAGGGCCAGGATAGCCTGGTTGGTAGGGCACTGGGCCCATTTCCAAGAGTTGGTGGGTTCGAACTCCGCCGGCCGAAGATTCCCCGTGTAGTAAAATGGTGACTGATGCGCGTTAAATTTGTCAAGTCGCAAAGTCCTCCATGTTCCCATAACAAATCATCCCTTCTGGGGGTACTAATCCAGAAGTTTCCTTGTCTTCTGGATTGGTTCAAAATTACAAGGCTACGGAGTTGAACATTGGTAGTCGTAAACTCAAAATTGGGTAGGCTGTTCAACGACGGATATAAAATATAAAATTAAATAAAATTGACTCAGTGTATGTTAGCTTTGTGGACAGCGAACCCAGCTATAATCGTAAAGATTTGCACTCGTGTCGCCTATCTCGAGGGGTTGTTCACATTCCTGGTGGAGTTCTGGTGGTCGTGGATTCAAACCTGGCGGCCGCCTAAAAAATCTGCGTTTTATGCAGCAAATTGTACTGTTCTGACTGACTTTCCTATGGTTGTTTATGAGTTAAAGTTTGAAGATAGGGATATCAGCTCACGTACTGTCTACTTCATCTAGCGGCATTAAAATTACTTGGCGTGAAAAGACAGATCATTGAAAAATGGGGACAGGTATCAGAGCATGTTTGGGTGATGTGACGTTTAGTTAATTTCCTTCTTTAGTTTTACCAACTTCATTCTACAAATATAGTCATGCTTGAGCAGCGAGGTTCTTGTAAAGATGAAAGAAGTTAACAAGAGGGAAAAGGGAGCAACATGTCTTTAAATGTTTTTACTCTCGAGCTCTTCCAGCTACCACAATAATGTAAAAATATTCAATTACAAATTGTTTTATTATAGAACATTGAAGTAAAATAAGTTCTGCTTGTGATTATATTTGATTTAATGGCAACCATTTTTAGCAAACGAGCCATAGTTTTGATAATTGGATAATTACACTCCAAGAAGAAGACAGCTAATCTTTATCAGCAAAATGGCGTATTAAAATTGAGCTCAGTTTCTCTACATAAGTTAGAATGTTAATTAATGTTAACGTAAATAAATACAGAGCTTTATCGCACATCGAATTTGTTGAAATATAATTCTTTCTCGTCTACTTCTTTTACCTAACTTAGATTTATTATTTGTTTATGTATTTTATTATAACCGTGATATATTTTTGTTTTGTGAACCTGCCAACTTCGATGCATAATTAGTTTATGTTCTACATGGTTTCATGCCTGTTATTGTTAAGTAAAAAATATATAGTGAAAGAATTGAAATCTTCGTGTAAGAATATAAAATGCGTCACTTAAGAGAATTGATACCTCACAGGCTTGGTTTACTCGAAATAGAATGGAAAGAACAGTTGCTAACGTAAACAAATGCCCCGTTTCCACAACCAATCAGGATCGAGATACCACACTACGTCACTTGCAGGTATCCCATTAAGTAAAGAATTAAGAGTTGCTAAACGTAATAATTTTCTCGAAATAATTTATTAACTTTCTCTTTTTTTTTCAAAAATAAGTTAAATATAGTTTATAACGTTTCAAGCATATTTTATAACCACAATTATAATCCCATTAAGTAAAGAATTAGAGTTGTTAAAGGCAATAATTTTCTCGAAATAATTTATTAACTTTCTCTTTTTTTTTTTCAAAAATAAGTTAAATATAGTTTATAACGTTTCAAAGATATTTTATAACCACAATTATAATTCATTTTATTATACGAAATTTTTTATTAATGACTATTTTTATAAGCAAGGAATGAAATGCGAAATAAAATTATCAAAATAGCGGCAATGTTTTATTTGTTTCTAAATGCCCTTTTAAGCTACAATAGTGTTTTATATCATTATAATTGAAATGAAATTTTTAAAAAAGACCTGAAATGGCCATTAAATAATAATGTTTTTCAAATTAATTAACATAACTTCTGTGTTGCTAATTTAAGTGCATTATTCTAATGTAACAAGTATAACTTAAAAGAAATTTTTTTTTGCATCATTTTAAAATAATGAGAAACTACGATTATATTTTACTAATTAATTTTAGTAAAATAAAAAGATTCGTTGTTGCTTTGAAATAAATTTAGAAAATATTTAATAGGTAGTAATGTATGAAATATTAATTATTTTGAACTTAATAAACTGTATAATTTTGTAAAAGCAAATGTATTTACCACATAATTTAAGTGTGATTCAACTAACATAATTTTCCATTTTTTTCAATTATAAAATTTTTTTACCAGTGTGTAGTTTTTAAACATAAATTGATACCGGCGGTATTACAACTTGCAAGTTAGTATTTTGAAATTTATTTTTCATACTTAAAACTTCATTTATCCTTAGCACCATTACATTATTATCAGTAGTTTAATTTTCTATTATTCAACCACTATTAGAGTAATTTTCAATTATACTATTGATTTGCAGTTGTGAAAACTTTTTAGAAGAAAATATTCTAAAAGCAGTTAAGAGACTGAACAATGATGCATTATATTTTATAAGTATCATACTTTTTTTTATATATATAACCGTCGTTGAACAGCCAACCCAATTTTGGGTTTACGACCACTAATGTTCAACTCCGTAGCTTTGTAATTTTGAACCCAATCCAGAAGACAAGGGAGCTTAGGATCGAGTTTTGGGGGAAATTTGCCTTCGTGGAGGACTTTTTGATGGGACTAACCCGCATTTGCGTTACACGGAAAGGAAAATCACGAAAACCTCCATTGGTTAGCCTGATGGCAAAGGGACTCTATACTATCTGTTCTTACTGTGGGAGCAATGTTGGCCCACCTGATATGGTGCCTCTGAGAGAGTGGCCCACAAATCTGCCCTACTGATACTTGAATAACGAGTGTCAATCTTGTCGACATTAGAAAAACAAATGTATGTTTTATATGAATTTTTATTTTCATTAAAAAGTGACAAAAAATATTGTCGGTGCTACGTTGCAAAATATTTTGTATTTAAATAAAAAGTTTGTTTACAAAACATTTGAATTCTACACAAAATGGTTTATTTATAGCAAAAAGACAAGAAAAAAATATCTCTTCTCCGCTCTAAGCCGATTAGACTTTTCAGTGTCGTTTTCGAACGGTATCGTCAGAACAGTTTGGAGCGGGCTCCAAAAGTTCTGTGCCAGAGAACTGACCTAATAGTTTAAAAAAATCCACAAACTTACCATAAAGCTTATATTCCATAAAACCTAAATATTATATTGTCTAATATCGGGGATATCCACCATAGTGAGGAGCTGGAGCTTGGTAGTGAGCTGGGGAAGCGTGTACTTGAACATCAGCAGGGTTTTGATTATCAGTTCCTGGTTCGTTGGTCTTGACATTAGCACGGAATCCGTAAGCATCAGCGACGTAGTCTACTTGTCTGTAGATACCGTGAGCATCGGTATATCCGTAGCTACCTTGGACATTGCCTTTGCCATCGCTGGATTCTTTGCGAGATTGCTTGAATTCACCATAGTCACCGGCGATGTCGTATCCGAAGTCATATGGGGTTGGTACAGCCTGGAAGACAGATAAATTAATTTAAGCTTTGATGTCTTCAATAATTGCATATTAAAATAATGTATAATCATAATACATTGAGAGGCTATTTAATTGGGACCATATGGCAATTTTGTGCAAATGATATTGAATAGTTATTCTAATCAGTTAATATTCAAAAAAGTAAAAACTAATATAGTGTATGTTTTTGAATATAAATTACAAAACATAAACATAAGCTTGATTCCAATGCAAGCACATTTAAAATTATTGTCAACAATTGTTATAATAATATGTAATTATTGTAATAATTATTAAAAAATATTGTTTTATGCTCTAGGGTCTATACTAATAAAGATAATATAACGTAGAACAATCGCATAGTTATGCAATTCCATACAGATGTTACATTGAAATTGACAAGTATCCTATGAAATAACTAAAAAGAAATGAATTTACCTTTTTTTATAGGGTTTTGTATAGTTATTATCATATAGGTGTTTCGTCGCTATAGATAAGCATCATATAAATGATTTAAAAAGAAATTGTATTTCTTTGCTTTCTGGTTAAAATAATATTTCCGGTTTAAAAAAAAAAAAAACTCAAATCCCGATAATAAAAACCAAAATATACGGTATTTAAACCGTTCATTTAGTAATATTTTCGTTCATATGGTTACGGTTTATCGGTAGATTTGGTTTTCAAAATTATAGTTCTTGTTTTTTTTAATCACACATAGAACAATGCATAGCTGAAGAGTAAATTTAACCGAATAAACTGTTTTTATATCCTGCTCCAAGGTATCATGATAAAATTAAGAAATTTTGTCACATTCGCTAAATTTTTTCACATAATATAAAACTATATTTTATTGTTAATTGTACCAAAATTATAACCAAAGCGCTTTGGTAAAACTTATCGAGATTTTTGGTGTTTCCACAGAGCCAGAAACACGGTACATGTTACCATATACCATAATTTTTTCTCAGTGTAAAAAAAAAATCGTGCTGGAGTGGTATATGTTAGACAGCAATAACAAAAATATTGCATAGACATGGTAGTTGCGTACAGCTGTTTCGATGCTATAGCTAGACATCATAATGAGAACTCGGAAGAGTTTATTTTGTTTATAGGTTCTTATCTATAATCTTCTGGTGCTATTTTTTACATTTTTTATAGGTTTATTTTTTTGCCATTTTAAGACTTTCATCATTGTGTTAGATAATAGCTCTGATCCTTTTAAGAGTGATATAAAAAAAGTTCTTACGTAATCATATGCTGGTGCTGCGTAGGCAGGTGCACTGTATGCTGGTGCGCTGTATACAGGTGCATGGTATGCTGGTGCAGCGTAGCTCCTGCCGTAAGCAGGTCTTCCGTAAGGCCTTGGGGCGGCCACGGCTACAGCGACTAAAACAGCGACAACGGCGAGCTGAAAAATTTTATGTTATCAACACTGTTATTTACTTGAGACGACATAACTTATTCAAATTTTACAGTTATAAGACTTTATAAGAATTATTATTGAAATGTTTCGAATCCTTAAAAGCAACTTACTAAAGTTTGAAATTTGCGTCTTGGAAAGTATTTAAATTAAAAATTTAAATCTAGATAATATTTAACATTATCAAGATTTAACTCGCACCACAAATTAGTTTTTAATAATTTGTGGAACGTATATCTGTTTAATTATTTTTAGATTCGTTCAATCAGTATAGAATTGTCATGTAAGGCTACTGACAATGTCAACCGTCATCTATCAAAATGCACCACCAGATAGAATTGAGTGAACATGCCTTATATAATAGTGAATTGGAACTGAACAATTGAAATGGTAGCTACACTACTATACTCTCCCGCTAGAGTTTAATCTGGGATGGAATTGGATAACTGGATATCTCTAGGTGATTCATTGTTGTTTTGTGAGACTCCAGGAGAGCTGTATCAAGATCACAGGGCTTTGAGTGCTGGTCGTGAGAGTCGTATTAAGATCACGTTTGCGGGCGTAGTTGTTGCTGTTTTACAATTAGCAGCCGAATGTGTATAAGCCCCCGTTGTGTGTGCGATCCAGGTTGAGTAACAACAGCGTGAGGAGGTCAATGTCGGAGTCAAAAATAGCAGGTGAATTGTTTACTGTGTTCCATCCATCATCTCGAAGAGGGCTTTTCTGTTGAGGTAAACGTGTTCAGATAACGTCCGGGTCTAGAATGTGGGCGAAAGCTACCGACAATGTCAACCGTGATCAATCTAAAGGTTACTCTGAGATATAAAATCGAGTCAATCTGTCTTATATACTTGTGAATTGGAATTGAATAATTGTAGTGGTGGCTACGCTACCGAATCAAATGAGAGTAACCTTGCCTCCTGCAACAAATTTCAATTTTATGAATTGGCTGTTCAGCCTTTTGACGCATACTGGATACTGGTGTCACTCTTTTCAGATATAAAAACAGTCTGATAGTTACTAAAAATATCTGTTAGATTATCGGAATTATATTTCTAGTGAAATATGAAAACCAAAAAAAAAGCAGTTTGAAACTTTTTTTTTCCATTCATATTCAAAAATTGATTTTGTAATTTAACTGATAAATAACTGTTTCTCTTTGCATCTAAATAAAAAAAAATGGCTGCAAATTTGAAAAACTATTGTTTTGAAGTGAGTCATGTTTGGAAGAGTTTGCCTTTAACACAGAAAAAGAAACAGACATTTTATGATGTATTTCATAACCATAAATTATTAAAATGCTAAGAACAATACTTTTCACTTATTTCGATCTAAATTAATACAAAATGAGGAAAAAAGCATGAAAAATATGTTTAATTAAAATTTTGCGCCAATGGGTTAAGGATGATGGTAAATTAGAATTTGGTTGAACTCTTGATTAAACTATCTAACATCCAATATTCGATGATAAAAATGTTTTTGAGATTGCTATACTAGTATATCCATAAACAGCAAGTATTTTGTGTATTTTTAAGTACATCATTAGAAAAGAAATTCTTTGCTCCTATAGTTCTCTACAAATTTTTAGAACCGTTATATGCGTCTAATGCAAATTATAAGCATTCTAATTATTGAATACAAATTTTGTTTGCCTTTGAACTAATACATTATAAACGTTTTTAAGATTTTTCGTATATTTCAAAAAAATATTCAAGTTAAAGATAGCAATTGTTAGCAAGTATTTCGTGATATTTTGAAATTCACTATTAAAATTGATAACTATTTAATTTCAACAAAATTAATATTCAATTAATAAACATTCTCAATTATAAAGAAAACTATTAGCCCCATTTTAACATTTTACTACCATTATCTTCATCTATTGCACATCATAAGCATCCTAATTATTCTGTATGAATTTTGTTGTCTGTTTTTGGAATGATGCATTATCTAAGTTATTTTGATTTTTCGCTAAAGTTAAGTTATAAATAGCAGTTGTTAATAAGTATTTTGATATATTTTGAAATTTACTCTTAAAATTGATAACTATTTGATTTCATCAGAATTTCTATTTAATTAAAAAAATATCATTAAAAAGAAAACTGTTTGCCTCTATTGCACTTCATAAATTTTTACTATCATTATTTTCATCTATTGCATATTACAAGCAGCATACTAAATATTCAATACAAATCTTTTTGTTTGCTTTTGAACTGATGCATTATAAACGTTTTTGTGATTTTTCATATATGATAAAAAATAAAGCCAAAGATAGTAATTGTTAATAAATATTTTTTTGATATTTTAAAATTTACTCCTAAAATTGATTTGATTTCATCAAAGCTTCCATTCAATTAAAAAATCTTTAATTTAGAAATAAAAGTGTCTGTCGCTATAGCACTCTAAATTTTTACTATCATTATTTTCGTCTATTGTATATTAAAAGCATTCTAAATATTCCCTACGAATTTTGTTGTTTGCTTTTAACCTGATGCGATATAAAAAATATTTAATTGAGTTAAAGTCGTTCAAATTGAACTATATCGAAAATACAGCTATATTGAAGCCATATGACTGAAAATATCACACTAATTCAATAAAATTTTATCACCAAAGATCAGAATGAGGCTATATTGTATAGGATAATCCTAGTCAAGTACCGTAAATAATCCAAATGATTGGCGATTGAGTTTTGGTAGTCAAAGTAATTTAACTTACCTTGAACATGCTTACTGATTAGGATGTAAGACCAATATGATATTGGATAGCAATCGGCTTCCCTTTTTATATATCATCTGAGTTGGTGTATGTCGGATATTAACTTGCGTAAAAAATTCGAGGGAGGATGGCGGGGGAGGGAGAAAGTAAAAGAAAAGTTTCTATATTCTTCAATTTTTTGATATTTTTATTTCATTTTCACTTTCCCTAGGTCGTGGCCTCATTTGGTATATTCCCTTCGATCTAGTTGTGGATATGGGCCATGCCTTGGGAGTGGTGTAACTACTTCCTGAATTGAAGGGGTGCCACTAACTTCTCTTTTTCTGTCCTAACACCACACCCACCCTTGGAAAAAGTGCTCGAATTTATTGAAGATTACGAATGATCACGATCTTGTCTCGTGAAGGGCTTTTTTTATTCGAAGTTTATTTTGTTTTTATTGTCGAGTGGAATGTTTACAATGTCGGTATACGAGTGCGATTGTTACCATAAGTTTCTCGATGCAGTGTGTAATTGAGTGCTAAATATCAACTTTTGAGTTTAAAAAGTTTTTTTTTCTTACTCGGTGTATTGTAATATGAGGTGTTATTAACGGTTTGAATGGTTCATGAATTATGCAATATGTATATTTTACTGTAAAGTGTTGTGTGGGGAATTACTTTATCACAAAGGTGGTTGTTGATAAAAAGTGAATAAAGAATTTTTATTTTATTGAATTTCGGAGAGATTGAGTCATTGTATTGTGAAAATACTTTTAATATTTAAATTTAAATTGTTGAATGTTTATTTGGTAGTTTGTTTGACTGAGAATGGTGATGTTAGTGCTAACTACTTTAATTTTTTTAAAAAGGGCATTAAGCTTAGTTGAACTTATCGAGTAAATTCATAAATTATTTATATGAAAAATATGGCAGTCTGTTGAGTATGTTTTTAAACAGAATGTTTTTAACCTTTTATTTTTTGAGATTTAAATTTTCCAAGAAAAAAATTCTTTTGAAAGTTTTTTTTACTTTTAAATTCATTTAAAAATATAATTTTCCTACCATCGTGACGTTGAGTTTAAAGTTCAATTTTAAATCAGTTATATTCTACTCAATTTTAAAATATAAATAATTTTTGATTTTGTGTTCATGTATGCATCCAACATCCTCAGCCAACATGCATGCGACATGTATCTACATATTATCAGAAGCCATATGAGTTATGGGAAATAACATAATATTTGTCAAAAATAGTAAATGTTGAAAGTTATATATAAAAAAAAAAGATCAAAACTGATTCCTTTCAAAAATTATTAATTTCTGACAAAATAGCTTATATCCCAAATTGAGGAATAGATTTATCAACGAAAGCTAAGATGTTTTGTTAACTTTTATTGTTATCTATTTCAAAGACTACCAATCAAAAGATTGGTATTTAATGAAAAACCAATCGTTAAATGACATCAGATGTATTTGCAGAAATCTTAAGAGATTTTTTCTTTCCATTCAACTTTAGAACATTCATACAGGGGGAGTGGGCTAAGACCAGGTACTTGGATAAGACCTTAATTGAGTAGCAATTAGTTGGTTTCCAGCGGACAAACTTTGATTTACACTTTATTAGTCAAGAAGAAGGACCTACCATATTGGCATGTTGTGGTTGATTAATTCACGGTGAATGAATAGATGAGTTAGTTTTACCATGTCAACTCTTCAATGTTCTTTAGTTCTTAAACTAGCTTTATTTATTGATTATTGCAGTAACAAAATCCAGTTTATTATACGTTTACTAGAGATTCATACCTTAGCAAACAAGAAGGATTTAGTCCAATAAAAGTCTGTTACGTTTCAATAACTTCTGCTCTTGGGGTAAGAACAGGTACTACCAAGTTTCACCCCACCCCCTTGCTGTGAGTCTTGATGCCTACGAAAGTGCTGCAGTGCAGAGGATGAAGAAGTTAACTACATCCAAGAGTAAACAAAGGTTTTGCGGGCTTCTTCTCAAAGCACAAAAAGCCTTATTTTTTATATTTTGTCGAATTTTTGAAAACCCTTCATACAAAATTTTACTTTATTTTATAACCGTCGTTGAACAGCCGAGTCAATTTTATGAGTTTACGATTACCAATGTTCAACTCCGTAGCCTTGTAATTTTAAACCTAAGCCAGAAGACAAGGGAACCCCTGGATTGAGTATTGGGAGAAATTTGTCTTCGTGGAGGACTTTTTGAGGGAGCTAACCCGCATTTGCGTTACATGGAGAGGAAGACCACGACACCTTCCCACGGTTAGTCTGACGGCAAGGGGACTCTAACCCATGATCCGTCTACCACTGAGGATATTTCACGTCAGCACTGTGGTAGGTGCAAGCCGGATGCAGAGTTCGTATCGTCTGGGATTCGAACCCGGTTCGCCTCATTGGAAGGCGAACGCTCTATTCCCTGAGCCATCGTGGCTCTTCATACAAAATTGTAGTTTCCATGTAGATTAAACGCATTTTTATTTTAAGAAAGCTAATTAATAAACAATATGTTTTTTGAAAGAAAATTCGGTTGGGCCCTCTACTACCCCTGGCCACTGGATAATTGTCCTTCTCCCTTGAGTACTGCTTTGACATCATTAATTACATGTAAATTACATTCACACTTTTCGTAAATAGTCACATAAAATAGAAATTCTTGCTATTTTTTCACTAAGATCTCAGCATTTCTAAACTTTACCAGAGAAGTGTTCTGGCCTTACTAGGTGTTTCAACTTTTTCTAGGAGAAAATCATTTATAAGAAAATAAAAGATAACATTTCAAGAATGATATATTGTACACAACTAAACAATTAATATCTTGTATAAATTTGACAGTTTCTAAGTCGAACAGTTGAGCTCCAACAGGCTTTCAAATCTTAGCTACAGATTTCGATACATAAGATATATATAAAATATATACATAAAATATCGACTATACATAAAATATGTAATTTAATAATTTGAACTTTAAATTACATTTTTAAACATAAATAATTAAATTTGTTTGTTAATGATTTTTCTAAATTTTATGGTGAATCATATAAAGACACTCAGGTTCTTGAATTCTGTGGTAAGACACCATATATTTTTTCTATTACTTATTCACATGAAATTTTTTTACTTCATACACTCTTTAATAAGGGAATCTGGACTGTGGGAACGCACTACCTTCTCAATTAGACATGAATGGCAGTACCACAGCTCTGCTCATCGCCATACGACTCATTGTAGGACAAACTCTAATATTATCCATCATTCAGTTGGAAGGCAATATTAGACCATCTGATCACGGTTATATGTAACTTAAAGAAATTCAACTCGCCTTCTACACAAAGTTGGCAATTTCTTCCAGAAACGTTATTGGCTTTTGATAGGAAGGTTTTTAAAATTTTCTGAAAGATTCAGTTTAATTTCAGGAAATTATGTTATTGACTTTAAGTGAGAAAATATTTTTAAACTAGTGGGCTGCGCCCCCTGCTCGCTAACGCTCGCCAACCTCCGAAAATTGCTACGCGATCTTATATGGTTTGCTTCGCAAACCAAGCTCGTTTCGCTCGCTACTAACTTAGGTACATTGCAAATGCAAAAAATTCTAAGAATTCAAAACAATCATTCAAATCCACATAACAACTTTCTTTTCTAAAACAAATTACATCTTTTTAGTAAATACTAAGTCATTAAAATAAATTTGAATTCAAATAAATGACATGTAATTCGTTAAACCTATTAGAAATGTGCTATAGTATAAAATCTTAAAGCGTAACAGCACGACTCAGATTCATTTTTCACTGAATAACTAATAACAATTATAAAACAAATAAATTCGTGATATAAATCAAAAATCGTCAAATAAATTCGAAATATATAAATTCTTGAAAAAAAGCGCTTTCGACAAAATACTAAAATAGAGATCTATCGACAAAGACTACTCACTTCTGCCTAGCTTAATAGTATGATATTGCCGCAGTTCATAGGGTGAATTTCGGAAGAGATCACATTTTGTGAGAATGCTCTCTCTGGTTCTTTCAGTTTCCGTTTTTAAAAGCGTTATGTTGAGCCACCTCAGGTAGATTTGGCATGTGACATTTTTAGCGGCAATCATTGGTCGATTTTCTAGCGTTGCTATTCGGGGAGTAGTAATGAGCCTTTTTTTTGTCGCCGCGTAAGAGAAATATATATATAGATTTTTATTTATATTTTTTGATGTTGCCAGAAATGCTACTAGTGTAAATTAGGCATATAATTTTTCAGAAACATTCTTCTATTTAGTTTTACAGTGTACATTGGGCCAATCTGTAGGGGAGAGTGGGGTCAATTGTAACAGGGTACAATTGTAACAGAGCAAAAATTTCGAGTGTCGGGTGCTAGATGTGGTTCCTAGGTGGCGCACAAGGTGTATTTAATAAATCTACATGTACACCCCTGNAGAACCTCCCACGGTTAGTCTGACGGTAAGGGGACTCTAACCCATGATCAGTCTACCACTGAGGATATTTCATGTCAGCACTGTGGTCGGTGAAAGCCGGATGCGGAATTCGTATCGACTGGGATTTGAACCCGGTTCGCCGCATTGGAAGGTTAACGCTCTATCCCCTGAGTCATCGTGGCTCTTCATACAAAATTGCAGTTCTTATATTGATGAAAAAGATTTTTCTTTTAAGAAAACTAATTATTAAACAAGATGTTTTTTGTAAGAAAATTTGGTTTGGCCCTCTGCTATACCGGGTCACTGGATAATTGACTGGAATTACTTTCACACTTTTCGTAAATAGTCACTTAAAATAGAAATTCTTGCTATTTTTTCTCTAAAATCCTAGCATTTCTAAATTTTGCCAGAGAAGTGCTACAGCCTTACGAGTGATTTAACTTTCTCTAGAAGAAAATTATTTATTGAAAAAATAAAAGATCTATGACATTTCAAGAATGATATATTGTACACAACTAAACAATTAATATCTTGTATAAATTTGACAGCTTCTAAGCTTAATCACTATAAGTTCTAACCAATCAGGTTAGAGTTCTCTTACTGTCGGACTTACTATGGGTGGTTATGGTTATCGTTTTATTCTCCTTGCCATACAAATACGCATTAGTTTCACAGAAAAAGTTTCTCATGAAAGCAAACTTGCTTTTTAATTGTTGTTAGATCTA